ATAATGTGCAAAATCTCCTGGTGTGAGAGCTAGCTCCTAGGAGAAGCTAATGAGTGCATCTCTTTCCTTCCCCGTAGCCCCCTTCCCCCCCATTTGTAAAAGCAGGGCAGGGGTGAGATGGTTTCTGGGGCTCCTCTTGTCTCCCAGGGACTTTGTGAACTGTGTTTTACTGACCTTTCTGCCAGAAGAGTTGGCACGGGGCTTGGTGACTTCTTTCTCCCATGCTGCTCTGTTCCCCACCAGTCCCAAAGGAGACCACATCCTTGTATTTCACAAGATTCTGCTGTTGTGACTGAAATTCCAGCAGGTCAAAGTGGAATTTCTCACACATTTTAACATATGAAAATGAGAGATCATCATATGGCCTTTGAGATCTAAAGAACACCGTGGTCATCCCCTTGTGCAGTTTTAAAAGTGAGCAGGTCCTGTGCACGATGTGCCATGAATGCCAGTGCAGTAGAGGGAAGCCAGCCTTCAAATTTCAAATGGCACCTCTGCACCCTTCCACTTGTTATCCCGGGACAGGAGTGACCAGACCCCTCTGGTTCTCAGATTCCTTCTGTGGGAATGGAGTCCTACCTTCTGGAATTGTGGGGATGAAATGAAACTAAAGGGGTGGTCCATACAGCTGGTCCAGAAATTGTTTGCTTCCCTTCTCTTCACTTACATGTGTGGGACACTTCATAAATTTATAAAATACTTTTTATACTTTTAGTCAACTGGTTCATACAGTAATAAAGTGAAATAAACTAGACAAGGATTTATATCACTAATAATCACATTTACAGGCAAAGAGCTTGATGTCCAAGAGGTGGGGTGGAGGCAGGTAAGTCAGCAGCGAGTTAATGGTGGAGCCTAGACTAGGAGCCAGGTCACGTGCATCATGATCTGAGGTCTATGTCCCCATCCTACGGAGTGGAATAGTAAAGGGCAGATGTGTGACCCTGATACTGTTCTCCTCTCCTGGCCTATGCCCTTTACTGGACTTCGGAAGGCCAGAGTTTGATTTCCGGCTCCTCTATGGGTAGTTATGGGATCTTGGCCAAGTCACTTAACTTCCTTGAAGCCCATTTTCCTCATCTCTAAAATGGATATAATGAGAGTAAACATTTATTGAACACTGACATGTGCCAGGCACTGTTCTAAGTACATTATATGGATTATGCCACACAATTTTCCTATTAATATATGACTGAAACATGTTTTAGGTAAGAACAAATTCCTTTCACCCAAGCACGGAGACCATGGAGCATGTGCTCCATAGTTCTGCCTCAGACTGTCTCTCAAAGTAGCTGTGAAAATTAAATGAGATATCAAGTGAGGTAAGAACTTTCTACACGACAAAAAATTGTAAGTGGAAGTTGGCATTGAACTTCATGATCCATGTAAAAGGTTTCTTTATACTCACAATTGAGTCTTAGATCACACAGGTTCATTTAATACTTTTTTCCCCTATGGAAGTAGAAGTCTTTCAAAATCAAAATGTAGCCCGACCGGCATGATTCAGCAGTTGAACATCAATTTATAATCCAGGAGACTGTGGTTCAGTTCCCCGTCAGGACACATGCCTGGGTTGCGGGCTCCATCCATGATCTGGGGCTGGCAGGAGGCAGCCAGTCAATGACTCTCTCTCTCTCTCATTGATGTTTCTATTTCTCTCTCCCTCTCCCTTCCTCTCTTTGAAATCAATAAAGATATATTTTTAAAAGTTTTTTTAAAAAGTAACAATTACTACATCTAAACAGAGAGCACAGCCTGGCTGGTGTGGCTGGGTGGTTGAGCATCAGCCCATGAACCAAGAGGTGGCTTCATTCAATTCCTGGCGAGGGCACATGCCTGGGTTTCAGGCTCTATCCCCAGTAGGGGGCGTGCAGGAGGCAGCTGATTGATGATGTTTCTCTCTCATCAATGTTTCTATCTCTCTATCCCTCTCCCTTCCTCTCTCTTTACAAGTCAATACAAAACATATTAAAAATAAACAAAGAGCACAAATAATTTTGGAGTAATTTTTTGAAACTTAGGCACCTCTACACTGCCAATTGTTGTCAATTACTGATTTTTTTCACCCAGAACTAGGTTCGAAGACAATCTTTGTCTTCAATCAGAATCTGTTCTTTGCTTCAGAGACTTTCTAGGATCGTGTACCCATCTTCCCCCTCCTTTCAGTTCCTCCATTCCATGCCACTGTCATGGAACCCTGCTCTCCCTGTTAGTGGAAAAATCTATCCCAGTGAAGTGTTGAGACAGAATGCTGTCCCTTGGGCTGGGAGAATGCACTCCCTTCAACAGTTTTGGAGCAAACCCTCCACTGCCTATTATCTTTGGGGTCCTCTGTAGCTGCTTCCACCAGTTCTCATGTTCTGGATTCTCTCCTCCTGCCCCTCTGCGGAAAAGAAAACAGAACCTCATAGATTCTGCCCCCCTCATTTCTGGAGAAAACAAGCACAGAGCCTCTCAGAGGTCTTCTCAGTTTTAGTGCTAACCCCATAAGAAGAAAGAATGGAGGCGACAAATAGAAAGTTTAAAGACGTATGAAGTCTTAAAAGTCTCAAAACAAGTATTTTTCCTAAGTACAAAAGGGGCTTGGCTGGTCTCTTCCTTGGCTTCTCATTTAACTTACCTTTTTTATCTTGGGAGACGCTAAGCCTAGGCCGGCTCATTTTATTCCCAGGAGCTACTGAGAACATTCTCCTGAGCTCTCCAGTTCCAGGAGAGGGCGACAAAGGTACACGAAGATGGTAAAAGTGAGCCTTGACTCATGACCACCAAGGGTCAGCATCGATGTCTGTGAGCAGCAGGTCTCAATTGCTCTCTGTCCTCTCCATCCACCCATCTCATTCTCAATTCTCACTTTACTTATAAGATCACATTTGAACTTGATATTTGAAAAGTGATGCATTAGATCACTAGAGAGAGTTATTTTAATTAAAGATGTTTTTAAACAACTAGTCTTCAAATAGGAAGAAATCATTTGAGTATTTTAGATTACATTTTACACCAAAACAAAATGTCAGAGATGGATTAAAGAGTGAAACAGCCCTATTATTAAACAATAGAAGAAAATAAAAATAGGATATTTACCAAACCCTGGCATGAATAAGGACTGTTTAACAAAAGAAAAATCTGCATACTAAAGAAAGTATTGCTATAAAGAGATCACACAAATTAATTCAAAAAGCACATTGTGTCCCTAATTACCTAAGTGACAAAAACGCTAACAGAGGTGACATGAGTGAGAAAATAAAATTAGAAGAGGAAATTAAATTAGAAAACAGGCCTTTAATAAAATGTACAGCTCACTAATCATCAAAGTAGTGAGGCACCATTTCTTTTGTTCAGTCAGCTAACAACAAAAAAAGTTTTTAATGATAATATCCAGAGCTGGGGAGAGTAGCTAAGATACAGTCTTTTATACACACACTGAGATACTACCGGGTAACAATATAACAAACTGCAACTTGGGAAAATGCATCAAGAGCATTAAAAATACTCATAGTTTTTGGTCCAGTAATTCTACTTCTGAGAATATGTCATATAATAATTTGGGAATAAGCTATATGCTTAAGGATATTTGTTACAGATTTAATAATAATATTTTAAAATGGAAATAAACCAAATGTTCAACAAAATGCAAATTGTTATGTATATTTTGCCTGTATCCATTTGATGGGCCATCACACACACATTTAAATCAATGACTGTAAAAACTAGAAAAAGACGAGGCAAAAATAGGGGAATAAAATTTCTATGTAAAGTATGTTTCCGCTACAATTACAAATGAACAGATAAATTCTTGGGATTGAGGATTGTTTTGTTTTCTGTAGTTTCCAAAGTGTTTATATTACTAGTTTTAATGAATACACACACGGGTGTGTGTGTGTGTGTGTGTGTGTGTGTATGTATATGTGTGTGTGTATGTATATATATGTAAAAGATGACTATATCTATATATATGTATATATACATGGAAGATGGGTATATGTATGTGAAACATGAGGTGGTTTTGTCACATAGAGCCCCAGGTAATGGGGCATAAGAGTGGATTCCAGACATCATGCACATCTTTGGAGGTAAGATTGCCAATCAGGGTCTTTCCTGCACCCCTCACAGAGGAGCTGTTTCCTGAAGCCAAACCCAATTCTGGAGATTTCATGTAATCTATAAGAGATAAGCAAACTGATGAAAGAAGTGCAATGCTGGAGATAAATGAGGGCACCAGGGAACACAGAGGAGGAACAACCAACCCAGTTGGGGGAGGGGGAACTGGGAGGAGTTTCTGAGAAATGACATCTTGAATGTCCTGAAGTCTGCATAGGGATTAGGCATGTGAGGAGGTGCAGCAAAGGGTGGCCCAGGCAAATGGTCAGTGGGTATTCTCTTAGGACAATGTGTCTCTGGTTGTCTGACTAATCCAAGGCAAGGCTGTGTATGTGTGTGTGCACATGTATGCATGCATATGTGGGTACATGTGTGTAATATACCAAATGGCCTGACATCACCCAGGAGAAGGGGAGAGGAAGGAAGAGAATGGGAGGAAAGGAAGAGGGACAGACATAGAAAATAAGGGAAATGGAAGTAAAGAAGAAAAGGAAAGGAGCCGAGAGAGAGGAGTTAGTTAGAATTGTATGGAATGATCTGAGTCAACATTCTTGAAAAACTCAAGGGAAAGATTCTTGACGTGTTGACTATTGGAGCTTTTCCTATACCTGGTCCTGTGCTCAGATATGAGTAATTTGGAGGAGTGTTGTGTCGTCACTGAACTCACAATCCTGTTGAGGAAAGGAGAGTGCACGCAAGGAATATGCTAAAATATTGCCAATGTCAGGGCAGAAAGAGATCAAGGTGGGCTGAAATAGAAAAGTCTTCCTAGAAGAGGTGAGTATTGGGAGAGCAGGTCTCAGAAGCAGACTCTGCTGAAATGGTGAGTCTTGCTTAGATCCTGAATAGGTGTGCTATGTGGGGTCTGTTCTCTCATGGCTGATCTGATTCCAGGGCTCAGGATGCTGTTGCTACAAGCTGTTCTGCTGTTACTAGTTCTGCCCAGTCGTGGACAGGATACCCCGACCAAAGAGCCTGGAGTCCTGCTTCCCCTGCCTAAGGGCGTCTGCACTGGTTGGATGGCGGGCATCCCAGGGCATCCTGGCCACAATGGGACCCCAGGCCGTGATGGCAGAGATGGCACCCCTGGCCAGAAGGGTGAGAAAGGAGATGCAGGTAAGAACAAGGTTTTTTTTGGCCTTCTTCATCAGACTTCTCCTGGGTAGTGGCGGGCTTCTAGAATTATACTAGGGCATTAGTTATTGACTAAGGCCTAGACAGAGGGAAGAAGCAAAGTGTTTTCATATGACTCATAAGCAACCTAAAGTGGACTTTGGGTTGGTCTGCCGGTGGTGAGAATAGGTGGCACTTGTAAAATCAAGTATCCTTGACTCTGCTCTATCCACATCTTCCCTGTCCCCTTTCCCATCCCCACCCTCATCCATCCCTATTCCCAATCTGCTCATATTCCTATTTCTATTAATTTCCCCTTAATTCCCAGCAGCATTCAAACACACTTAATGTACACCTCTTGCAGGTCACAGTCCTGCTCCTGAAGAGCTCCTAGTCTAGTTAAGAAAATAAGTTTAATGCACAAGACTCTGTGAGAGGTTACTATAAGGAAGCCTACTCCAAATATGCCAAATTGAATGTGGACAACTGCCACAGTATGGAAGAGAGAAAAAATGCCCTTAGGGCAGACTTAGATTTAACAATGAAGGTTTTCAGGAGGAGGAAGGGCTTAAGCTAGGTCTTGAAAGATGAGTGGACAGAATAAAGAAGGGAGGACATCCTACACAGAGGAATAGAAGAACAGAAGTATGGTTGGTTGAACCAGCACATAAAGAGTTAACAGATGGAGGGTTGATGATGGAGACTTATAAGATATTGGTTGGAGCCCGGCCAGGCGTGGCTCAGCGGTTGAGCGTCGACCTAGGGTCCAGGCTATTGGGGTGCGATTCCCCGTCAGGGCACATGCACAGGTTGTGGGCTCAATCGGTGACTCATAATTGATGTTTCTGTCTCTCTCTCTCCCTCTCCCTTCCTCTCTCTGAAATCAATAAAGATATATTTAAAAAAATATATATTGGTTGGAAAAAATGTATGGGAGTCTGCTCTGGGGGATGTGGAAATAGGAAGTATAACTCTCCCCTTTGGGAGCTTCCATTGCTCTATAAGTGAAGCAAGTTGTACATAGGGGCTATAGGGACAGTGTTTTAAGTTGGAAGCAACTTAAGCAGGAGTTCTGTTTCTTATGGTCACTGAGATCTTCTAATTCTTTAGGTCTTGTTGGTCCTAAGGGTGACACTGGTGAAACTGGAGTGACTGGAGTTGAAGGTCCCCGAGGCTTCCCAGGAGTCCAAGGCAGGAAAGGAGAACCTGGAGAAAGTGCCTATGTATACCGCTCAGCCTTCAGTGTGGGTTTGGAGACCCGGGTCACTGTCCCCAATGTTCCCATTCGCTTTACCAAAATCTTCTATAATCAGCAAAACCACTATGATGGCAGCACTGGCAAATTCCACTGCAACATTCCTGGGCTCTACTACTTCTCCTACCATATTACTGTCTACCTGAAGGATATGAAGGTCAGCCTCTACAAGAAGGACAAGGCTATGCTCTTTACCTTTGACCAATACCAGGACAAAGATGTGGACCAAGCCTCTGGCTCTGTGCTCCTCCATCTGGAAATGGGTGACCAAGTCTGGCTCCAGGTGTATGGGGAAGGGGAGCATAACGGGCTCTATGCAGATAATGACAATGATTCCACCTTCACAGGCTTCCTTCTCTACCATGACACCAACTGATGACCACTTACCCAAAGCCTCTACTGGGCCAAACAACCCAGAAGTCAAAGAACAGCCCATAGGTTCTCAGTGTAGTTAGGAGACCGATGTTATTCTTTAGTTGGAGAGTTCTGAACACTATTCATTGATTTACTTATTCATTCATCAAGTACCTTTTTAAAAAAGTTACAGACTATGCTCTCAGTCCTAAAGAAGATATGTTCCCTGGCCTCAAGGATCTGGTACATAGTGGCAATAAAAGGATAACAGCATTTACTGGGGCGCTTCACATACATGACAAGATAGCTGACTACGAGAAAGTATTTGATAGTGCGATTCTATGCTTCTTCTTATGTTCATGCCAATCCTGTGAGGTGCGCGGAAAAGATATCATTCTCCTCTTTTTGCATTTGGGGCCCTGAGGCTTAGAGAGTTAAGCAAATGCCTAAGGTCACACAAGTATTAAGTGGTGGAGCAAGAAATCACACTCAGGGCATGGACTCTTTCTATTACACTGTGCCCTTTTCCAGAAGTACTTGTCTTTGGGATATTGATAGGGGGCATCCTTCATTCATCTCATCTGAGGGTCTTAACTCATCATGAGTTAAGTTGTTTTCTCAGTAGAGTTCCCTCAGAGCAGGTGGTTCTATGACCAGGCTCCATTTCAGCTCGACCACTCAGTGGCCCCTGCACTTCTCTTTCCTTATGCTCTTCTCTCTAATCCAGAAAGCTACCTCCATTTCCACATGCTGAAATCTTCCCTGTTCCTCAAAGTCACCTAGTCAGGAAGCTTCTCTGATGTGATACTGTTTCCTGCAAACCTTCCTCATGTACTGCACCCCTGTGTTTCTTCATGTGTTATTGTGGATGAGAGCCCTGGGCATGGGAGACATCTCCTAAGGTTAAGGACAGCTTCCCAGAAGGACCATGTTTTCTACACATCTGAGTCCCCTTGCAGATCCTTGATCAATGCTTCATGAAGACCAATCTCTTGAATCTCACATCTACCCAGAACTAACTCCATTTCAGTCTCTCCATATAACTAATCCTTATCTGCAAAAATATTGTTATTTTAGGAACTCCCTGATTTTAAGCACCCAATCCTTGCTCCACTGTATAGTTTGAATAATTTTCACTAAGGTTAGGAATGACTGTGCTTTCCAGAACACTTGAAGAACTTTTCCCCAAGGAGGTAGTTTGAGCCTGTAATGCAAAACCTATGAAGGAATTTGAAAACTATTCTTTCCTTGAGTATCAACTGAGTCTGGGAAGACCTGGGCCTTCTGAATCTATTCTTGTTCTATAAGAATTATTTAAAAAGGGGGGGGTGGGTGGAGAAAAAGATAACAACTTGAAGAGATATGATAATTAGCTTGATTGTGGCGATTATTTCACATGTATATCTATATCAAATCATCAAATTGTACACCTTAAATATATACAAATTTTAATTGTAAAATATTCCTCAAAAAGAAAAAAAGAACTACAAGTGGGTGATAGTGGTAAACATCCTCTCAGGCGATAATAGCTTGACTAATGCTCTTCAAATGTTTTAGCAAAAGCAGAGTTAATAGCATTCTGTATAAATATAGAAATGGAAAACATAATGTTTTTGCTTACAGTTTTAAATTCTGAATGATTCCCTTTTACATATGCATTGCTATTAAGTGATTATTTCTACATATAAAACTTTGTCTTTAAAAATGCTTTTATATTATTTTATACAAGTAAATATACTTCTCAGCATTAAAAGTAGAAACACTTGCATCACATGGCTTTTGTTTCATTTTTGGAGAAAGACATGGGTTTAGAGAGAAATGAAGGGGTAAACCTTGTGTCAGTCAGGACTCTATGTTGTGAATGGCAGAAAACTCAATTCTAACAAGCAATAAAAAAATTTTCCTTGCAAAAAAAAAAAAAGGTTTTCCTTGCATAATAGAAAATACCAGAACTGTTCTGTCAACCAGAGGCTCAAATGATATCATTAAATACCCTTTTCTGTCTGTCCTTCCACTTTGTCTTCAACAGCATAAGCTTCAACCTCAGGCTCTACACAATATAGTTCTAGGCTCTCTCCCATGATATCAAAAAGACAGCAGTCTGCCAGTTGTCATACCTTCTCACCACATCATCTAGCCAAAGGGACATCCTCGTTTCTGGTGGTTCCCAGGAGGAGAGAGGAAGTTTTCTCTCCTCAAAGCCCCAGCAAGCATGCCCTTGATCTCATTGGCTCTGGCTGGGCTGTATGCCCATCTCTGACCAATCACTGGAGACAAGAGGATGACAACCCTTATTGATTTAAGTTGATTATGGTTCAGTCTGGGGAAGGGATGTTTTCCCTAAAGAAAATCTGGATACAGTCACCAGAAGTGGGAGAACAGATGATGAATGTAAAAGCAGCATTTGTTTACAACAAACCATTAATGTTATGTTTGGGTTTACTCAGGTTTCTCAGAGAGATATTGCTGAAAAACTACTATTGATTTTCTCTAAAATTTCATGAAATAGCTAATGTCTGATCATGCTCACAGTTTTGCATCTGGTTAGGATGGGATCCTCACAGCACTGGACACGATGTCACACTCACTCTAAACTCTCTTGAGGAGGATCAGTTCTTCATAGAAATAGAGAGGGCCAACCTTCATAAGACCTCCTGAGAGAAACTGTGGCCAAGAATTTTGGATTAATGGTCCCATGATGTTCAGGTTTAATTGTGGATTTTTCTGTTTCTCTTCAGTTCTGTCAGGTTTTGCTTCATGTATTTTGAAACTGTCTTGTTAGGTACATGCACATTTAGTCTTACATCTTCTTGTTGAATTTACCCTTTGTCATTATATAATGTCTGCCTTTATCTGTAATTTTCCCTTTTCTGATGTCTACTTTGTGTGAAATTAAAATATGCACTCTAGCTTTATTTTGATTATTGTTTGCATGGAATGTCTTTTTCCATCATGTTACTTTAAATCTATCTATATAATTATATTTAAAATATGTTTCTTATAGACTGCATGTGATTGGGTCTTGTTTTTTATCCAATCTGAAAATCTCTTTCATTTGATTGGTGCTTAGACAACTTATGTTTAATGTAATTGTTGTTATGGTTGGATTTAAACCTATTGCTTTATTTGTTTTCTATTTACCCCCTGTGTTTCATTCTTTTTCCTGGCTGCTTTTGGATATTGTGAGTATTTCACAGTATTTCATCTTAATGTATTTCTTGGCTTTTTGGCTGTATGTCTTTGATATATTTTTTAGTAGTTGCTCTAAGGATAATAATGTATATACTCAACTTTTCAGAGCCTACATAGAACTAATATTTTACCAGTTCAAGTAAAACATAGATGCCTATAGCCACATAGGTTCTTTATCCTAATTCTTTTATGTTATGATCATCATATATATTATACTTAAATACATTGAAGTATTACAAACAATGTTATAATTTTGGTTTTCAACAGTCATATATATTTTAAAGAATTTAAGAAGACGTAAATACTCTGTTTATACAGATAGTCATCATTTTTCTTGTTCTTTCTTCATTCCTTAAGTTTTACATTTCCCTCTGGTATAAATTCCCCTCATCCTGGAAAACTTCCTCTAGCATTTCTTGTTTTAAAAAATTTGCTGATGATACATTCTCTTAGATTCCTAAAGGATATTTTTGCTGGATATAGAATTCTGAGTTGATAGTTCTTTCCTTTCAGTATTTATTTGATTTATTTATTTGATTTATTTATTTATTAATTATTTCCCCACACTTTGAAGATATTGTCTCACTCTCTTATGGGCTCCATGGTTTTTTATAAGAATTCTGCAGTCTTAGCTTCCCTTTTGTGTAATTTATTTTTCTTCCTGCTGCTTTCAAGATGCTTCCTTTATCATTGGTTTTTAGCAATTTGATTATGATGTGTTTGGGTATGATTTTTTTTCTTTTAGCTTAACCTGATTGGGATTTACTGAATGTCTTGAACCTGTAAACATATGTCTTCCACCAAGTTTAGAAAGCTTTCTGACATTATTTCTTCAAATATATTTTCTGAATCCATCTTTTTGTTTTTTCCTCTTGAGAGTCCAATGATATGAATGTTAAATTGACAAGCCCCTAAGGTTGTGTTAATTTTTTTCAATCTTTTTCTTTCTGTTATTTTTATTGTGTAGTTTCTACTGATCTATCTTGAAGTTCTCTTTCATCTGTCATCTCCATTCTGCTATTGAGCTCATCTGGTGTACTGTTAATTTCAGATATTGTATCTTATAGTTTAAAAATTTCCATCTAACTTTTCTTTAAAAATTATCTTCCTCTTCTGAGAATTTGTATCTTTCCATTTATTTCAAGAATGTTCATCTTTACCTCATGGTTATAATAGGTGTTTTATTTTCTGTGTCTGGAAATTCCAGTTGGAGTAATATTGAAGTTGGCATCTGTTGACTTTCTCTTCTCTTGAGTATTAGTCAGACTTTCCTTGTTCTTTGTGCATTAAGTAGTTTTGGATGATATCCGGAATATTTTGAACATTATGTTATAAAATTCCTGGTTCCTTTAAAATCAACATCCTCTAGAGAATGTTGATTGTGTTTGTTTGTTTGCTTGTGTTAGCAGGTAATTAATTGCCTTAGGTTCAGAGTACAAGCTGTACTCTTCTGTGATTCCAACTCGATTCAGTTTTCAAGCCTGTTATGCTATTTGGGTCTGTCTGTCCTAAGTATTACTCAGAGTTCAGTCTGGAACTTTGGTTGTTCAGTTCTTGAAGCCTTTGCTATGCTTTTTTGAGTTTGCTCTGCATGTGTACAATTGGGCATTGAGTCTGGGACTTCATGTAGGGTCCCATTCAGAATTAAAAGATGTCTTTTTCCAGCTCTTTCCACTCTGACATTTCCTATATTCTCCATCCCCCAAGGACCCTCCCTTCCTGGGTCTTATGACCAGGAAGCAAGGGTTCTCTCCAAGTTTTAGTTTCCTACGCTATTCTCTTGTTCTGTGTGACTGGGGTTGCCTTTGGGGATAAAGCAGCAAGATAAAA